CTCAGAAAGCGGCTCCAACCCCCGCAAACAGCTTTATTCCCGGGCAGCGCTCCCCCAGCTCGGCCACCGCGGCTGCTCAACCCGCCGGGGCCTGGCCGTGAACCTCCCGGAGCGGCAGCGCCTCCGCCTTTAGTTTTATTTCCGCACGGGCGGGCGGCTCCGGGACGGCTCAACCCGCCGGGGAGATGGGCACGGCAGCAGCACATGCACGGAGGGTCCATGCCAGCCCCGGAGATGGGCACGGCAGCAGCACATGCACACAGAGCCTGTGCCAGCCCCGGGAGCTGGGCACGGCAGCAGCACATGCACGGAAGGTCCCTGCCATCCCCGGGAGACGGGCACGGCAGCAGCACATGCACGGAAGGTCCATGCCAGCCTCGGGAGATGGGCACGGCAACAGGACATGCATGGAGGGACCCTGCCAGCCCCGGGACATGGGCACGGCAGCAGCACATGCACACAGAGCCTGTGCCAACCCCGGGAGACGGGCACGGCATCAGAACATGCACGGAGGGTTCCTATCAGCCCCGGGAGCTGGGCACGACAGCAGCACATGCACGGAGGGTTCCTGCCAGCCCCGGGAGCTGGGCACGGCAGCAGCACATACACGGAAGGTCCATGCCAGCCCCGGGACATGGGCACGGCAGCAGCACATGCACACAGAGCCTGTGTCAGCCCCGGGAGCTGGGCACAGCAGCAGCACATGCACGGAGGGTTCCTATCAGCCCCGGGAGCTGGGCACGGCAGCAGCACACACACGCAGGGCCCGTTCCCGGCCCGCAGCAGCGGCGGCTCCGCGGGGCGGGTGCGGCGGAGCGCAGCCGGGCTGTCCGGTAGGAGCCCCGGGAGCCCCCGCCCGCCCGCGGGCCCCGCTCCGGCCGTGCCGGCGCTTACATACACGTGTCTCCTCTTGACATTGTGGCTGCGGGCAGCGGGCAGCGGGCAGCGGGCGGGCAGCGGCGGAAGGCGGGCAGAAGGCGGGCGAGCAGCGGGCAGAAGGCGGGCAGAGGGCGGGCAGCGCTCCCCGCTCCGCAGCTCCGCCGGGAACGGCTCCGCCGTAAACACCCGACGAGTTCTGCCGGCTCCTACCGCACCYGTCTAGTAGCAGCGCATCCGTACACGCCCCTCCTTCGCTCTCTCCTCGGCTTGGTGTGCTTTTTTAGTTTTATTTTTAATGTTTGTATCTGCGATGAGTGCTGTTCAAGAGTGGAGAGTGCGTATGGGAGATCAGCGAATTCTTAGGTTTTCCCCGAGTGCATTTCTAGATGCACGCAGGGTGTCAAAATCCGGAGAAGGAATGCCTCTGTGCCCCTTGCAGGGTGACAGCATTTTATCCAAAGCAGAGTGAAAGAGGTCCCCGTGCTGAACCCTGCGCTGTGGCTTCAGGGATCCATGATGTGTTTTGAGCACACAGGACACAGGCCAGACCCACAAAAACCCACACACAGCCCTTCTTCCATGCAAGTTTTCACCATGTTACTGTCTCCCATACACTCCTCTTCATCTGCTTAACAAGTGTGTTAAAGCACAGGCTGTCCCACTTTTTAAAATGACTGGAGAGCTGCTCCTTGTTTACAATAAGGCCACTGCAGTCTAAAGTTCAGCAGAGAATGAAAACAGACCTTTGGAACAGAGGTACTTCCCGCAGGGACTGAAAATGAAAAGTAACCTGTTGGGAACAGGGCAGTTCAGCCATGAACAGAATTTGAGGTGACAAAATTGCTCCCCTCCTGCCACATGTGATTGGCCAGCCCACGTCTCCTGCCAGGAGGACCAGGGATATCTCAGGGATAAACCTGGGATGATACAGGATGGCTCTGGCCATGCAAAGAGGGCACAAGGGAGGTGGCTGTGTTGGGGACATGGCCCCAGGACTCCCAAACCAGCACCCCTCTCCTTGCTTTTCTTGTCCATCCTCCTGGATGGAAAGGAGATCCGAAGACAAATCTCAGAGGGATCAGTGGAGAATACATGGCTGAAATCTGCCCTCCAACCCTTGGCTCACCCTGTCCCAGCACCCAGTGCAGGATTTCAACAAATGTCTGCAAATCTGGGAGAGGTGAAGGCCAAAGAAGCTGCAGCTACACTGGGCAGCAGCTTCATGCCACCACCCGGCAGCTTTAGCCAACCTCATTAGCTCAGTTCCAATGATAAATGAGGATTTCTTAACATCAGGGMGGTGCATTTGCCTAAACCTTGCTCTGGCTGCCCAGATCCATGGGGCTGTGCCAGACATGAGACTCCCCATGTTTTGCAGCTTTTGTTGTTCAAAAGGATCAGGAAAAGATGGGATCTTGCTCAAAGCCTCAACTACAGCTCTTAGAGCTGCTCCAATATTGGGCCTCATGTCTGGAAAGCACAAATTGCAGGGGGATAACATGGACTTTCTATTACTGTTACAGACACAAAGAAATCAAAAGGAACCCAGTTGCAATGGAGACAGTTTGGTTTAAACAACTGCCTCTGTTATTACGTKTTYTGATGCATTATCATCATTGTTGGAYGTTCTTGGGGTCTGAAATGCTGCTCACAMCATTGGGGYCAGGGTACTGTGCTTAGCAGATCCTGTAGCTGCCCGAGTTAAGACTGGGTTGAGGATCCAGCCCTGGGCAGGATTCGGTCCTGCTGCAATGCTTGGGGGACTCCCAGACAGGCACTGCTGGGCAAAGGCCGGTCCACAGATGGTGGAGGAGGACAAGGCTGGCCAGTGGCCACCTCAGGGAGCCCAGGGAACAAGTTGTAARCTCCCCAGAGAGCCTTGGGGTGCCCAGGACATGTCTCCCCACCATTGTTCACCCTGCAACAAGGCCAAGTGCTGGTGCTGCACCTGGGTCTGGGTAACCCCTGGAATCAACCCAGACTGGGGGATGAATGGATCAAGAGCAGCCCTTCCAGGACTTGCAGGTGCTGGTGGACAAGAGGTTGGATATGAGCCAACAAGGCACTTGCAGCCCAGAAAGCAAACTATGTCCTGGGCTGCAGCAAAAGCAGAGCGGTCAGCAGGTCAAGGGCAGTGATTCTGTCCCTGTGCTCTGCTCTGGTGAGACCCAGATTCAGTGCTGTGTCCAGCTCTGGGGTCCAGAGCACAGGAAGGACGTGGAGCTGTTGGAGTGAGTCCAGAGGAGGCAACTCAGTTGATTAGAA